AGCCCCTGCAAACGGGGCGGTAGTAAACGGGCCGGTAGCCAATGATTCGTTTTCAAGGGTGCTTTCAAAAATTGATTTGCCGCGCGCAAGTGCGAGGTAAACCCCCACGTCCAGAATTGTGATGATGTGTCGACGCTTTTGTTGTCCCGGTTTATCACGCACTAGTGCGAGGTACATGCCCTATCTGTCACCCCATTCTCGCTTGAAGAGGGCCCTTAACTACCACCCCGTCTACTAACGCCCCGTTTGCAGGGGCTTGGGAAGGGCATCTCCCCCCTCGCCATCTGCTCCGCGTGGCGGCTGGCAATCTCCGCGATGCCGTCGCTCCACCTCAACAGGAATAGAGGCCAGAAAATCCCCCCCCAGAATAATCACCCCGACAAGCGAAGCCGTTTAGTAAACGCACCCACGGAAGGAATCGAACAAGGCAGGGCTGTTCAATACGCCCACGGCCGTTTAATAAATGTCCATTGTCTGGTCCGGGTGGTTTTTCCTTCCTTGCTCCTTGAAGGAAGGACAGACTCTATTCGCATAGATCTTCGGAACTCCACGCGGATTTCTTGGATCCGCGCGGGACCCTCCCCTCCCTGGCGCGCAGCGCGCGCCAGGGGGCGGCGCTGGAGGACCCGCTGGGGGGGGGGCCAGCACAGATCCGAGGAAACGTCGAGGAGCTACAACAGTTGATGATGCCTATACGCCCGGACCCAGGACAGCAGAATATCGGGAGCGGCCAAGAGGGGGGTGTCCAAAAGGGGTGGGTGCAAATCATGACCGGCGGCATGTGCGCGGCCCAGCGGGGGGGCCTGGGACGTAATGAAATAAGAAGAGGCGCCATGGAATCACAGGAAAGATCATGGCCCGCGCCATGAAATCCCCCCCCCCTAGTCATCACCCCCCTCTTTTCCGCTCCCGAGAATTTCCCTCCAGAACAGGAGGCCCTCCGCCGGTCAAATGGAAAACACAACGAGGGCAGCCTCCCCCAAAGATGCACAAGACCATGCAACAAGCACGAAGAATGGTCATGAGGGGACCCTCCCCGAGCCGACCTCGATCTTAGACCTCGGGCCGACCGCAGTCCGTAGAAGAAGAAGAAGCAACGCTATATAAGCATTAACTTCTGGCGCTCCGCGCGGATATCTTGGATCTGCGCTGGACCCCCCTCCCTGGCGCGCGGAGCGCGCCAGGGGCGGCGCCGGAGGCGCCGCCGGGGAGCCCAGCGCGGATCCAAGAAATCCGCGCGGAGCGGAACAAGTTCATGCTTATGGCGTTGTTGTTCCTTCTTCTGTGGGCCAAGGTCGGCCCGAGGTCTAAGGTCGAGGTCGGCTCGGGGAGGGTCCCCTCATGCTCTTCGCGCTTGTTGGATGGTCTTGTGCATCCTTGGGGAGGCTGCCCTCGATGTCTCTTCCATTTTACTGGCCAAGGGCCTCCTGCTCTCGAAGGGTGTTCTGCTGCCCTGGGTCTGGCCGTATACGAGCTGTTCCCCCCTCGGGCCTCAGCGGCGGCAGGCCCTTGGAGGCCCTGTAGGCGTTCGTGCCGTCCACGGCCTGCCGGGCGATCAGCCCCGGGTCGTACCTGGGGGGGCCCACGGGACTCCGGCGGCGCGCGGAGGGGGGCCGAGGGTGAGAGGGGGAAGGCTTCTTAGAAGGAGGCTGCTTCTTCTTCTTCTTCTTCTTCTTCTTCTTCTTCTTCTTCTTCTTCTTCTTCTTCTTCTTGTTTTTCCGATGGAACTGGCGCTGCGCGTGTATCCCCCCCCCCTGCCTAGACGACCGTTAGTAGGACTGTGCAGAAGGAGGCTGCTTCTTAGAAGACGCCGGCCCTACATCTAGAGGCAAGGCCCGCGCCCTCTGAGAAGCAGGGGTGCTCCTGAGAAGCCCCCCCCCCTCCACCTACTGCCCTCTGCGCGCCGCCATGCAGGGAGCACCGACACCGCTGCTCCACGGGCCTCTCAAAGCGAAGCCAGGGCGAGGATAACAGCGGGTGGGGGCACATCGAGAATCTCTTAGATCCAGCGGCTCTGGAAGATGTATCGGGGGCCGCGGCCTGCTCAGAGCGCTCCGGGACGCTCTGGAACGGACTTGTCCTCGTCCTGAGCACCGCTTGTTCACGGACCTCTCCCGGGGTGCTCGGAGGGCGCGAAGAGGGGGGCAGGTGGAGGGGGAAAGGCCTCTGAGGAGGCTGCTTCTTAGAGGGCACCGGCCTTACACCTACAGGAAGCAGGGGTGCTTCTTAGAAGCCTTTCCCCCTCCCCCTGCCCCCTATGCGCGCGGCTGTGGTGCACTCTGACCAGCGCTTCGATGAGAACCTGGCCGTGGCAACGAGCACCTGCCGGGCTCTCCTCGAAGTCTTGCCGGCCCCCGCACGAGCAGCGGCATCGGCATCCCCTGCCCTCCCCGGGCGCACCTGCCGCCCGCCGCCCCGTACTCGGCGGCGTAGCCCGGCGTACTGGCGATCTCGTCGGCGATGCTTCGGTGGCAACTCATGGGAGCCTCCCACCCCATCCTGTCGGCTCTTGCGAATCGACGCTCATCGACGCTATTCGATGCTACTTGGCGCCAAATCGATGCCAGTCTCGCTGGTCGACGCCAAATCGGCACTATCTCCTCGACTCCCAGACCCTCATCGACGCCAGTCGACGCGGAAGACGGAATTCACAGAGTACGCCAGGCTCCCATGACATGCTACCGAACGATGCGCATCTGCTCCACGTCCTGGAGAAACCAAAAAGGTACAGACAACGCTACTTCCTAGACCTCTCCAGGGGTGCGTTCTGACCAGGAGTTCGATGCGAATCCAGCGGTGGCGACGAGGGCCTCCCAGGAGGCCCAAAACAGGGAAAACGGGCGAAGGCCCAGACATGTCACGCCTTGATTTTTGCAACACGTGGTCCCCCGAAGCCCCGAACCTGCCTCCCGGGCTGGTTCCTCATCCTGAGTCCTTTCTGGACGGTCCTGGGGCCCGGCGAGGGCCCTCCAGAAGCCGAACACGGTCCAAAACCTCCCGTCGTGACTATACTGTGCGACGCCATCATGTCTGGGTACGGGTCTCGCCATCGCTCGGACGTCCATTCCCTGTGTTTTTTTTGGTTTCGTGCGTGGCTTTCGCGCCAAATCATCAAGGATGCTCCTCAATTGTCCTCGCCGAAGGAAAAATGCACACGTCCGAGCGATGCCAAGGGGTACCTCTTCCTCCTCTCGCGTCCGCCAGCGTGAAGTGCCGTGCGCGGCGGCCCGGCGCCGCCACGGGTGCCGCCGCGGGCCGCGGCCCGAGGGGCGCCCCGACGCCGCGGTTGCCCGCGCCGCGGCGCCGCGCCGCCTCGCGGAAGGCCCTCGGGTCCCGGAGCCGCTCCTCTCGAGGGGCAGCGTTCGAGGACGGGCTCCTCCTCCTCCCTCCTCCTCCTCCTCCTCCTCCTCCTCCTCCTCCTCCTCCTCCTCCTCCTCCTCCTCCTCCTCCTCCTCCTCCCTCCTCCTCCCTCCCTCCCTCCCTCCCCCTCCCTCCCTCCCTCCCTCCCTCCCTCCCTCCCTCCCTCCCTCCTCCCTCCTCTCCTCCTCTTCCCCTCCTTCCTTCTTCCTCCTCCCTCTCCCTCCTTCTCTTCTCCTCCTCCTCCCCCTCCTCCTCCCTCCTTCCCTCCTCCTCCTGCTCCTCCTCCTCCTCCCCTCATTCTCCTCCTCCTCAACCCTTCTCCTGTTTTTCCTCCTGCCCTCCTCCTCCTCCTCCTCCTCCTCCTCCTCCTCCTCCTCCTCCTCCTCCGTCGCCTCGCCCTGCCCGAGGGAGCCCCCCTCCTTTGAGGGGCAGAGTTCGAGGACGGGCTCGTCACTTCTCGTCTGGCTACCAGACGCGATCGCGTGGTTAAAAAAATCACGACGGGAGGTGGTTGGCCGTTTTCGGCGTCTGGGGGCGGGATTGAAGGGCCCCGGGACCGACCAAAAACGACGCAGGATGTAAAACCGGCTCCGGGGAAAGGGTCGGGACTTCCGGGGACCGCGCACTGAAAAGATCAAGGCGTCGCACGCCTGGGCTTCCAGCCTCGGGAGGGCCTCTGGCAGCTGCGCCTCGCCGAGGGCGCTCTGGGGGTGCCCGGGTCGTCCCGAAGGGCCGCCCGAGAGCCGAGAATATGGCCCGACAGGCACCATGGGCAGCGTTCGAGGGGGGATGGGCACACTCGCCATCACTCGGACGTCCATTCCCTGTGTTTTTGTTCGGTTTCGTGCGTGGCTTTCTCGCCAAATCATCAAGGATGCTCTTCGATGGCCCTCGCCGGAGGAAGAATGCACGGGGGATAACAGCACGGGGGGCGACGCGTCGACCCGCAGTCGCCCAGTGATCGCCGAGGGGGGCCTTGGCCCACCTCTCCCGGGGCCCTGCGGTCTCGGCATCGGACGGGCACCGCCGATCTGAGCTGCGATGGACTGGCGATTCCAGGTCGATGCACGCCCCCCAGGGTTCACGGATAGAGCTGATCGCCGATCTGAGCTGCGATGGACTGGCGATTCCAGGTCGATGCAGGCCCCCAGAGGTCACAGATAGAGCTGATCGCCGATCTGAGCTGCGATGGACTGGCGATTCCAGGTCGATGCACGCCCCCAGAGTTCACAGATAAAGCTGAGAGCAAGGATTGCACGAGAAGGATGCAGGGGCCTTGGGAAGTCATGCCGGCACTTTCCGACTGTGGCGCGGCCAGCAGAAGTGGCTACGGATGCGCCGACGAGGCAAGGGTGTAAGGGTACCCTTGGGGAGGTTACCCTGAGGAAACCTAGGTAATGGTACCTCTACTCTCCAGACCTCTCCCGGGGTGCGTTTGAACCAGAATTCCGACGCGAATCCAGCGGTGGCGACGAGGGTCGCCGGGGAAGCCCCAAAAAGTAAAAACGAGGAAGAGTAGCGGTATGGGTACTTCTTCCTCCTCTGAAGCTCATGCTTACCATCGATTCCGACTAGAATCCCCCCGGAAACTGTCCCTGAGCCTCTCCTCGGTCAGCTCCGCCACACGGCGGCGGCGCTCGTCAAGTAGCGCGCCTGTGCTGGCCCCTGAGATCCGACGCTGCGACACAGCTGCAACACTGGGAAACATCACGCCCTGAGCCCCAAGCCCAGGGTCCGCTGGGGACTCTTCCCCCGCTGAAAAACATCAGCCATTTTCAAACTCTCCAGGAAATTCTCCCCGAACTCTTCCTTGAGGGTTTTCGGAGGGTTTCGGCAGGGTTGCGGCCGTTTTGAAAGGAGACCAATCCCTAGCGAAACCTGGACTGTCTAACCCCGGACCCCATCTCGGATGTTGCTTTACAGAAGTGCCCCTGACCCGAGGTGCCCCCAGGATTTCCACGGAGGCCCTCACGGCCTTCAGTTGTTAGCAAGAGAGAGACCCCAAACTTTGGAAGGGGACCTTAATTACGAGGGCCAGAAAAATTAGGGATAGGGGGTCTTTTCCTACAGATGTATCAACCCAAACCGCCCAGACATATTATTCATGTAATGTAAAGGCGGGGGCGTAAGTAAGGCCACGTCTTCACTATGTTACCAGGGTCCGAGGTTCTCGGGGTTCTCTGATCCTCGATGATCCAGAGCACGAGGCCCAGGGGGCCCCAGGGGCTCCAAAATGGAGCGACGAGCTGGGGGCACCTCGGGCCAGAGGTCACGGCGGACAATCACGCCCAGAACCCTAGGCGAAGCCAGGACGATGCAGCAACCGAAGGCGGGGCCGAAACCAGCTGCATGCAGCAGATCTCGTAACCCCCCCTTTCCCCATCCCCCCCTTTCGTTCGGCCCGACTGGGGACGCACCCTGGGGGGCGGGCGAGGACCTTGACAGAGCTCTCCGCCGCGCCGCGAGGAGGCCCGACGAGGCCAGCGTCGTGCTCCCCAGGCCCCAATGGTGCTGATCGCAAACCACACCCTGGCGTAACCTTAGCCTTTGTAGCCGGCGATATCCCCACAGGTCCGATATCCTGGTGCTCGATACCTAGCAGTATCGACCCTCCCCCCAAAGCCAACTTTCGTCCTGAATAGGTTTTTCACGGTCCAAGGGCCGGGTGAGGACCTCTGAAGGCGTTAGCGGCACAAGACCTTCGTCTTGACATCTTCCAACGCGTTGCATCTGAACCCAGTAGGCCCAAGAGATCGAAAACCGAGGAAAGATAGCGGCATGGGTGCCTCTTCCCTGGCCTGGCCGGACCAGGATCGACGGCGAGCGAGGGGGCGGAAGTGAGAGGGGGCAGGCCTTCACAGAAGGCTCGGGAGTTCCCCGGCCTGCTGAGCCTCGAAACTCGCCGCCGATCTCCCCCCCTGTTGGGAAACCAAAAGGTGCCGATACCGCTGCTCCCCGGACCTCTCCTGCGAAGGAGGCCCAGAAAGGGGAAGACAAAGCGAGGGCAGGGAAGGAGGAGGAGGAGGAGGAGGAGGAGGAGGAGGAGAAGGAGGAAGAGGAGGAGGGGGAGGGGGAGGAGGAGGAGGAGGAGGAGAGAGGAGGAGGAGGGGAGGAGGAGGAGGAGGAGGGGAGGAGGAGGAGGGAGGAGGGGGAGGAGGAGGAGGGGGAGGAGGAGGAGGAGGAGGAGGAGGAGCTCTCCGCCGATCTTCCCCCTCTGAGCCTCGAGGCGCCAGGCCCGCCGCGGAGCCGCCGCTCGCGCCGCTCCGCCCGGCGCCGCCCGGCGCGGGGGCGCGCGCGCCGCCAGGGGCGGGCCGCTGCTCGGCAGGCTGCAGGCCGAGATCCTCGATGACACCCTGCAGGGACTCCTGGGCGTCGTCGTCGTCGTCGCCGTCGCCGTCGCCGTCGCCGTCGCCGTCGCCGTCGCCGTCGCCGTCGTCGTCGTCGTCGTCGTCGTCGTCGTCGTCGTCGTCGTCGTCGTCGTCGTCGTCGTCGTCGTCGTCGTCGGAGCATGCGGCCCCAGAGAGCCGACGCTCCAAGGGAAGCACCGATGCGCCGACCCGGAGGAGGAAGTGGCACCCATATACCTCTACCCTCTGTACCCCCTCGCCCGCTTTCCCCTCGTGCGTCCTCCTGGGAGGCCCTCGTTGCCACCGCCGAATTCGGTTCGGCATTATGGTCGGAACGCACCCCAGGAGAGATCCCGGGGGTAGCAATACCGGTACCTTTCGGTTCCCCACCGTCGTGTGGAAGACGCTCTTCCGTTCGTCGTCGTCGTCGTCGTCGTCGCCGTCGCCGCTCCCCCCCCCACTTTCCCGGCGGGGCCCCGGGGCCCCCCTCCTCAAGCATCCCTGAGGACTCTGGCGGGCGAGGGGTGTCGCGAGAAGGGCGCAGGGAGGCACAAGTACGCATCATTCAACTGCTCATCGGTTTCGAGTATCGGCCTTCCTCCCTCACGAGCTGCATGGCGAGCGCATGCTCTGTGCCCTTCGGACTTACTTCTTTCACTTATCTCAGGCGTCTTTTCGTTGCCAGCTGCGCAAGCGATGCTTAATTCGTTGCGCACTTAGCCCTACGCCTGGCACTTGGATTCCGCCCAACTGCAACAAGAGACACAACTACGCGAGGCTCGCGTGGCGTCACCATGCAATCCGTCGCGTGTTGACACGGGGCTCAGCACAGAGATTGAATACGTACGCTTGGCGCGATACGCTTGCCAAGGCAAACACGTAGTGAGCCAACACGGACGTTTCGAACGCGTTACATGCTGCGTTGCAACACGGGCGTATCAGGGCAGCAAAGAGGGGCAGGGGGCGAGGTTGGCAGAGGGACCTTCCCCACCTTCTGAAGAGGCATCGGTACCGCATATTCGTGTCGTGTCGCTCCGGCGTTGGTTCCTGACGCTGCGGGGGTCGCTCAACCGTGAAGGATCGGCCGTTTCCGAAATTACAGATCGTTCAACATCGATCGACTGTGGGTCGCCATCGGCGTTCGACACGACGCGAACCGACCGTAACTAGACACAAGTTCCAGGATTCCTCAAGTGTCCAATATTTCTTGTTGATTGTCGTCTTCCCCTCCACTTGCACTACTTTCCATGTTTTCCTGGGAGTCGACGTTCATGTATGTCTGTGCCGATTTTCCCCTTCCTGAGATGAACCGAGCCCCATCCCCGCTGGCGTGGCCTTGGCCCCACTGGCCGACTCGATTGCCGACTTACCCGCCCCGGTGGGGAGATGTGCCCGCTCCTCCGGGCGGGGCTGGGATACCATGGCCCAGAGGCGATGGGTATGGGCTGGGCGATGCTGAACTTTAGCAGGGGCCGACCGTCCGGGCATTCCCAGAGGCCTACCACGACATGTTCTTACGACCCGAACATGTTCGAATGAGAAAAGCAAATGTTCGTAGAGCATAAGACCGATGTGCTGAAATAAAGCAACACAGTCCCAGCAAGACATGTTCTCAGAACATGTTGCGCAAGCCTCAACAGGTTCTTAACCTATATTAGTTTGGCGCTTGTAGGCGAGCCAGGACGCTTCGCCACGGCTTCATGGACTCCTGCACCTTCCCGAAGCCGCCGCCGTCAGCCCACGGGTCCCCGTAGAGCGCGACCACCGGCTCGCCGTCCTCGGTGGCCTCCTCGAAGCCGGCCAGCCGCAGCAGGCCCAGCCCGCAGGCGTGCCGCGCCACCTGCGCCTCGAAACGCGCGTTGGCGCGCCGCAGCCTGCGCACCCGTGCCTCGTCGGGGCTCTCGGCGATGCGGGCGAGGATGCTGGCCAGGGTCGTCGCGCACGCGTGCAGCTCCTGTCGACGGCGAGCCCCGTGGAGGGGTGGGAATGGGGATCGGGAGCGGCGGGAAGGTCTGATTCGATCGAGAAGAGAGATTTCGCCTGCTGCTGGGGAGCCTCAGGTCGAGCTGGGGGGGCCTCAGGTCGGGCTGGGGGGCCTCGGGCCTCGCGAATTTAGCCGTGTCCAGCGAAGTTTTCTGGCAGCCTCTGGAAGAAGAGGCTGGCCCCCAAAAGGCTCAGGAACCCCCTAGCATGTTGCAAAGCTTTCAAACCGTCTCAGGAGGCGCGAAGGCTTCTGAGGAGACCCGCCGCCTTCTGAGCATGCCTTTTCTGTCACAGTTCCCCCCTCGCTTTGGGCGCGAATTAATGGGGGGCGATGATTGGGAGGGGGAGGGAGAAGGGTGCCCTTTTTGATCCCTGAAGGCCCTCCTTCTTGGGTGGACCAGTGCTGTTGTAAGTACTTAGCTGACTTGGTAAGTACATAACTGACTTGGAAGAGACTTGATAAGTGCTTATCCATGTACGTAGCACGTGGCTTACAAGAGTCTTAACTAACAGACTTAGCTCTGCATGTAGAAGTACTTGTCAAGTACTTGGCTAGACTTGCTAAGCGTTTGGCTTACACTTCTAAGTCGATTTAGCTAATTATTTAGCAAGTGCTTTACAAGTGAATTAGCTAAGCGCTTCGCTCGACATTGAGAAATAGTTAGCTAACCATTTAGAAGACACGTGCCAGTACATAGTTACATGCTCATATTTGGCATCAAGGGCCCACTGAGGGCCTCTCATTGATCTGAGGAGGGCGCATCAGAGGTTTCAGGGCCCGTTCAGGATATCAGGGGGGTTCCACTGAGGGCCTTTTTCAAATCTCAGGAGGGCCCCCTTATTAAGGGTTGATGCGGATGGTGGGATAAACCGAAAACGCGCCGAGGAAACGCAGGAGTACGACGAGGACAATATTGATAACAGGACCACGGAGGAGGATAGAGCGGCGAGGGAGGATACCTCATAAATCGCAATGTTGCCAACGATGCTTGTGGTGATGTTGCGGCACCATCAGCATCGCCATGCCACGATGGTAATGCTGATGCCGATGATGACAGTGAATGTGATGGAAATGCTGGTTGGGGGCCGAGTGTGATGAGGACCGGTCGCTTCCGCGCTCAAGCGCTGAGAACCCCAGTCCGCATCGCCGTCCACGCGCGATCGACTTCGCGCGCGGATGGCGGATGAGAGGATGATAATGATGGTGGCGACGAGATGGGGAAGGATGGGAGTAGATCGATGAGTGGTGAGAATGAGAATCGGTGGTCGAGGGGTACATGCTGCCGACGGTGCTGATGGTGCTGCTTCAGCAGCAACATCGGCAGTGATCTCCGCGCTGAAGCGATGAGAGCACTGTCCGCACTGCCACCCGCGGGTGCTGAGGGTGGCGATGATGGTGGCGATGGTGATGCCGACGGCGATGGCGCTGATGATGACGATGCTGTCGGCTCAGGAGCGATGGAGAATGCCGCGTCGTCGGCAGTCGCTCGCGCGCGAGCCCTTATGAGCATCTGCGGTTGTAGAAGCGAGGGAACCTGATGCGGTCGTAGATCGCGCGCCTGATGGCCAGGGCCACTGTGGCGCACCTGGACGACGCAGAGAGCGCCCCGATGCACGGCTGCTTTAGTAGACGCGCAGCTGGACGTCGCGCGCCTGTAGATGCATGGATACCCGCACGCGCGCACATATACATACGGCGGGCACGAGGCGCCCGACGTGACATTATCCCAGATGAGCAGCATGCGCACGATGCATTGCATGCCGAAGTCGCCCCCTCCCTACCGCGGGACAAAATGCGCGCCGTCATCGGCGCCGTCCGAAAACCAACTCACGCAGCGCACCCGTCACATCGCTGGGATCACCCCCATGTGTCGACCAGCTGGATGAGCTCGGGCGGGCGGTTGTGGCGGCCCACCCCGAGCCGCCCCCGCGGCGGCGGGGGCGCGGCGCGCGCGCGCGGTGGCCGCCAACTGGGCCCACGGAAGCCAGAGCAGCTCGCGTCGGCGGAGTGCGTCACGTCGCGCGCGCGCGTGCGTTACTGCGGCGCCGCGTTCGCCCATCGCGCGTCAACGTGGCGCTCAGCGTCGCATTTCTGCAGTCGGGAGTGCATGGTTTTGGAGGAGGGGCGCAGCGGGGCGGGGGCGGGGAACGGCGGCGGCGCGGGCTAGGGAATGACGGAGTCCATGGAATGACGGAGCGGCGGCCGTCCGCGGCGTGAGTCGATTGCGCCGCCCGCTATATATATATAGATATATATATATATATATATATATATATATATGTGTACACATAGGTTTATATATGTGTATGTATATATGTAGGTATCCATACATACATACATGTACTTATACATATGCAGCTCGAGTCGCCAGGTCCGAAGCGACCAAGACCTGGGCGCCTCGCCCGTCTGGGGCGACCCGCTGCGCCGCCGCTGGCCCAGAAGCGCCGCGTCGACGAGGGCGAGGCGCTGGCCGCAAAGGCGCAGAAGTGCGCCGACGTGCTCGCGAAGGCGAGCGAGCACGTTGCGACGGCGACCGCGACGACGACCCTGACGACGGCGACGACGACGGAGATGATGATGACGACGCGGGCGTTGGCGATGATGGGCGCGCTGCTGATTGCCTATCATTGACACCGCGGCGGCGATGGGGGGCGGGCGCGACGGCGACTGAAGGCTGCGATCGAGCAGAGCCAGCGCTGTGGCGAGCTGAGCCAGCATCTCGAGAACCCCCAGAGCGCGGCGCAGGAGCTCGAGTTGCAGCGGCTCGAGGAGAAGGCGCGCGGGGGGGCCGCGGAGGCGGGGGCGGCGGAGCTCAAGGTGCGCCTCGAGAGCGCAAACAGGCGCGCCGAGGACCTCGACGTCGCTCTCGAGGAGCGCGCCGAGGAGCCCGGCCGCGCGATGGCGCAGCGCGCGGCCGCCATGACGCTCATGGGCGCGCGCTCGCCGCACGCGCCGCCCAGCGCGTTCGGCCCGCGCGGGCAGCCGCCGCTGCCGCCCGTCGCGCTCGCGGCGGCCATGGACAACGTTGCGAGCGTGCTCCGCGAGCAGCACCTGGGCCCGGCGCAAGGTACGCTCGTGGACACGCAGCCGCCGAGCGAGCCATGGGCGGCGGGCGCGCGCGGATGGCGGCAGGCATCGGGGGGGGGGGGGCAGGATCAGGGGGGTTCGGATGATGGGGGGCGAGGGTAGCGACGAGCGCGGTGGAATATAAGTATAGCGGCACGTGTGTGTGTGTAAATATATGTATGTATGTACGCTTTTGAATGCATATGCGTGTGTTTGCCAGCATGTGTACGTGTGTGCATTGCCACAGAGGTATACATATAGCTATGTGCGGGGATGCGATCCACGCGTGTATAGGAGGTGTGCCCTCCCGACGGCCGCGCGCGGAGACGCGAGTTCGCGTCTGTCGAGCGGGGGGGGGGCGTCGCGCGTCGCGCGGTGCACCCGCTTCGCCGTGCGAAGCCGCGTCGCTTTGAAAACGCATTTGTTGCCGCCGCCGCCGCCTGCCGTCGCCGACGTGGTATAGCTTGGGGTGCTCGCGACATGGTTATATATACATGTACATATATATATATATATATATATGTAGATATACATGCACTCGCATTGCAACTTGACTTCACCGATGGCGCCACAGCGCCACCGCCGGACTCAAGTCGCATCTTTCCAGGGTGGTGAGAGCCATGCCGTGCGATGGGAGCGACGCACTTCTAGAGCCGCGTGCCGATCCCATTGCGGGGCGCGCGCGCGACCGAGCTACTGTTGCTGCGAGCAGCCGCAATATGTCCGCGGCTCAAAGCGGGGCGCCCGCGGAACGGGCGTCGGCGCGCCCGCGCGTCGGCCGCCCGACCGTCGCCTGTATCATCGCGCCCGTTCTCATCGCCACCATCACTTGCACTACCACCCCGTCGCCAACATACCCGTCACCGTGCATCACCATCGGTGACGTCGGCATCGCCATCACCAGACATCGCCACCACCAGCATCATCGTCAACCTCATCACCATAATCATGTCGTCTTCGTATACTCCCCCTCATCGTCCTCGTCACCACCAACGTCATCATCGTCGCCATTCACTGTCGTCATCATCCGCATCCTCACCACCACCCCCGCGGCCGAGTGCGCACCCGCAAGCTCACGGCGCCGGCGCGCCCGCGCCCGCCGTCGGCGGGTCCGCGCGGCAAGCGCCGCCTCATCGGCAGCGCCCGCCGCCACGAGCCGCGCCTTCAGGTCGGCGACCTGCCTGTTCAGCTCGGCGCACCGCTCCTCCTCCTGCGTCGGGGGCCTAAGCGCCGCGCCGGCATCCGCCTGCTGGCAGACGGCGCCGCGGCCACGGCCGCCGCGCGACCGGCCTCCTGTGCACATCGCGCTTCCGCGCTGCAGCGCGGAAGGGGGATCCGAGGCGAGACGGATGGCGAGGATGGCGAAGAGGGCGGTCATGAGGAGACTGAGGAGGCGGACGAGGAGAAGGAGGTACACGGTGAGAACGGCAAACGGGGGGCGAGGAGCAGGCGCCACCCCCGAGCGCCCGACGGAGCGTCTGCAGCGCATCCTGCGCCGCCGCCTGCGCTGCGCCCGCCGCCGCGCCCGCCGCCCCGATGTCCACGGCAGCCTCCTCCGCTGGCGACACTCGCGGCGGGCCTGGGAGTGGCCCGCCGAGGTGGCGGGGGCGGGGGGGCGGCAGCAGCGCGTCCTGCTGGCGCCACGGCGGCGCGGCGGCGCCGGCCGCGGCGGCGTTGGGCACGGCCATGGCGGGCTATGGCGGGCCCGAGACCCACGGTAACTAGTCATTTCTTTCGTACTTAGCAAGAACTACTATATGTGTCAGCCTAAGTACTTAGCTAAGCACTTCGCGAAGTACGTCTAAGTGTCGACTCGCGTACTTAGCTAGGTCACTTGTAAATAGATTGCGCCAAGTGCTTAGCTAAGTACTTAGGAATGTGAACTAAACACTTAACAAAACAAGCTAAGTATGTACATCAGCTTAGCTCTAAGTGCTTATTACCCTCAAAACTTACGCTAATAAATCTTCCAATGAGATCTTGAGACCCAGCTTCGCTGAATTTCTTAGCCCCCTTGCGAGAGCCAGCTTTGAAGCGTGCAATTTCTTAGCGCAGCGCGACGCCAGTGTGGGTGGTTCCGATGAAGATTGTGCCGGTGATTGTGCCGATTGCGGCGCCGGGGGCTCTGCAGCAAACAACATACAGGAACACGTCAAGATCTGGGCGAGGATCTGGGTGGTGATCTGGGGGAATACCCGGGGGAACAGCCAGAGCAAAATCCGGGAGGCGATCTATGGAAATCTGTAAGAAGATCTGGGGGAAGATGTGGAGGAAAATCTGGAGAAATATCTGTAGGAACATATGGAGGGAGATCTGGGGGAGTATTTGGATGAACGCACTGGGAACAAGCTAGAGGAAGATCTCGATGAAGATCTGGAGGAAGATCTGGAGGAAGATCTGGAGGAAGATCTCGAGGAACCTCTGGAGGAAGATCTGGAGGAAGATCTGGAGGAAGATCTGGAGGAAAATCTGGAGGAAGATCTGGAGGAAGATCTGGAGGAAGATCTGGAGGAAGATCTGGAGGGTGATCTGGAGGAAAATCTGGAGGAAGATCTGGAGGAAGAGTTCTGGAGGAAAATCTGGAGGAAGATCTGGAGGAAGATCTGGAGGAAGATCTGGAGGAAGATCTGGAGGAAGATCTGGAGGAAGATCTGGAGGAAAAGTTCTGGATGAAGATCTGGAGGAAGATCTGGAGGAAGATTTGGAAGAAGATCTGGAAGAAGATCTGGAGGAAGATCTGGAGGAAGATCCGGAGGAATATTTGGAGGAAGATGGGAGTGGATACGGGATAAGATCTGAAACGACGATATGGAAAAAAGAGATTGAGGAAGATCTAAAAAAAGAGACTGGGATTCATGAGAAAGAAGATCTGGAGGAAGATCGGACGAGATGTGTGAAGATATTGATGAGGATCTGCGGGGAGATCTAATGAAAGATCATGCAAGTTGGAGGAAGATTGGAGGAAGATCTGGAGGAAGATCTGGGAGGAGTCTGGAGGAAGATCTGGAGATCTGGAAAGATCTGTCTGGAGGAAGATGGAGGAAGATCTGGAGGAAAGATCTGGAGGAAAATCTGGAGGAAGATCTGGAGGATCTGGAGGAAGAGTCTGGAGGAAGATCTGGAGGAAAGATCTGGAGGATCTGGAGGAAGATCTGGAGGAAGATCTGGAGGAAGATCTGGAGGAAGATCTGGAGGAAGATCTGGAAGAAGATCTGGAGGAAGATCTCTCGATGAAGATCTGGAGGAAGATCCGATTGGATCCAGGCAGAAGATGTGGGTGAAGATCTGGGGGGAAGATCTGGAACAAGATATGATGGAGGAAGATCTGGGAGGAAGATCTGTGATGAAGACCTGAGAGGAAAATCAGGGAGGAAAATATGGGAGGAAGATCTGGGTGAATATCTGGGTGAATATCTGGGAGGAAGATCTGGAGGGAAGATATGGTGAAGATCTGGGAGGAAGATCTGGAGGAAGATCTGGAAGAAGATCTGATAGTTATGCTGGTGGCTCTGTTGGTGGTTGCGCTGGTCTCTGTGCTGTCGGTCGTGCTGCTCGTTTTGATTGTGGTTTCGCTGGTGACGATTTTGCTGGTGATGGCGCTGCTAGTTGCGATAGTGGTTGCGCTCGTGGTGGTGGTGGTTGCGATGGTATTTCTGCCACTAGTTTTGCTGGAGAGGCGGATGGTGGTTTGGCTGGGGATTCTGCTGGCACGCTGGCGGAGGAAACACCCAGTGGATAAAGTGCTGGTGCGTTGGCGGAGATTTCGAATAATTTTCTTTGTTAATACTTGCGCCGGTGGTTTTGCTGGACATGTTGCAGGGGAAGGTCTAGAAAAGATATCTGGAGGAAGATCTGGAGGAAGATCTGGAGGAAGATCTGGGGGAAGATCTAGAAGAGAGATCTGAGAGAAAATCTGGGGTAAAATCTGGTGAAAGAGCTGCGTGGCGACCCGGAGGAAGATACTGGAGGAAGATCTGGAGGAAGAGCTGGGGGAAAATCTGGAGGAAGATTCTGGGGAAGATCCGGAGGAAGATCTGGAGGAAGATCTGGAGGAAGATCTGGAGGAAGATCTGGAGGAAGATCTGGAGGAAGATCTTGGGGAAGATCTGGAGGAAGATCCGGAGGAAAATCTGGAGGAAGATCTGGAAGATGATCTGGAGGAAGATCTGGAGGAAGATCTGGAGGAAGATCTGGAGGAAGATCTGGAGGAAGATCTGAAGGAAAATCTGGAGGAAGATCTGGAGGAAGATCTGGAGGAAGATCTGGGGGAAGATCTGGGGGAAGATCTGGAGAAAGATCAGGGGAAAGATCTGGTGAAAGAGCTGCGTGGCGACCGGGAAGGACATCGGGAGTAAGATCTGAGAGGAAATCTGAAGGAAGATCTGGTGCAAGATCTGGGGGAAGATCCAAGGGAAGATCTGGGAGAAAACCTGAAGGAAGATCAGGGGAAAGATCTAGGGAAAGATCTCTATGAAGATCTGGGGGGAGATCTAAGGAGGGATTGATCTGGGCGAGGATCTGAAGGAAGATCTGGGCGGAGATCTCGGAGAGGATTTGGGCGAAGATCTGGGGGAAACCCTCGGAGAGAATACAAAAGAAGATCGGGAAGAATATCTGAGGGAAGATCCAGAGGAAGATCTCGACGAAGATCTGGAAAAAGATCCCGAAAATCTGGAGGAAGATCAGTAAGAAGATGCCGGCGTTTAGAAACTGAGCCAGCTTTTGGGAATTCGTTATCGAATTTTAAGAAATTTTGAGACCCAGCTTGGCGGGGAGTTTCTCAACAGAAGATATGAGTGTAAGCCGACGCTAAGCCCGCTTAGACTTGCTAAGTTCTGATGCGACGTAGAAAGTACGTACCTAAGTACTTAGTAAGCCGACCAAGTACTTAAGATAATTAGAAGTACTTGCAAATGCCTAGTACGTATTTAGAAGTGACTTGCAACATATTTTAGAAGTCATCTTGTAAGTACTTACCAAGTCAGCTAAGTACTTACAAGAGCATTGTCCGCCCAAGTTGGGGCACTGAAGGGCCCCTTCAGGGCCCCTAAAGGGCTCGTTTTTGGCAGCCCTCGCTGCCCCCCACCCCGATGAATCGCCCCCGTCCCCAGACCCCCGACGTCATAATTTTCTTCATCACGCCGGCCCCAAGAGGTCTGGAACCATTCCCAGGGCACGGCAATTCTCATCCTGAGCCGGTTTCTGACGGTCCTGAGGCCCGGCAGGGGCCCCCAGCTGTTGAAAGTGACGAAACACCGCCCGTCGTGATTGTGTCCTTGCTCGAGGGGGTCTGGGTCCTCCTCCTCCTCCTCCTCCTCCTCCTCCTCCTCCTCCTCCTCCTCCTCCTCCTCCTCAACTCGGGCCCAGCCGCTCGCCGCCGATCCTGGTCCGGCAGGGCCAGCAGCTCGGCCAGGCACTCGTCCAGCGCCTGGTCGGGGTCCCCGCCGCTCGGGCCCGCGGCCACGCAGGGGCCCGGGGGCGCGGGGCCTGCGCGGGCAGGAGGGGCCACGAGCCCCACGACCAAGACTGAACCCAGACGTGCTCGCGTCGTGCAAGAGGCACGGCGGGAGCCTCCCGGCCGCCTCTCGGCCTCATGGGGTCCCTCGCGGGGCCCCCGGACCGTCGACAGAACGACTCGGGACGAGAAGGCCGGTCCCGGGGAAAGGGTCGGGGCTTCCAGGGACCGCGCACTGAAAAAAGCAGAGCGTCGCATGTCTGGGGACACGTCGGTACCGATCCTGGGCATCGCCTATCGTTCGGCGGCTCCGAAGGGCAGGGATTCGGCGGTGGACAAACCTCCCAGTAGTAAACCTCCCCTTAGTGAAAACGGCCTGGGACCGAAACCGACGGACCTGGACCCGCAAAAATGACGGCCGCGACGCCCCCTCGCGGACCGAAAACGGCCAATTCCTTAATCGACGTGTCAGGGTAGGAGGTCTGTCCACCCCCGAGGGATTGCAAAGGGTGCGGCTTGTAACGGGCACCCAGGGGGGCACCATGGAGGGCGGGCGAGGACCTCGACGGAGCTCTCCGCCGCGCCCGGAGGAGGCCCGACGAGGACAGCGTCGTGCTCCCCGAGCCCCAGCGGTGCCGATCGCAAACCACAGCCCGGGGCAACCTTCCCCTCTTCGGGGATGGACAGAACCCCCTTTAGCAAAACGTGGTGTAGTGAAAACGACCTGAGGCCCAAACCTGGCGGGCGCAAGCCTGGAAAATATCGGCCGCGGCGCCATCTCGAGAACCGAAAACGGACAATTCAGTAATCGACGTGTCACTGCTGGGGGTTCTGTCCACCCCCGACCTCTGTAGCCGCCGAATCGTGGTCAATTCGCGGCTCATCCTCGCGAGTCGGCGGCAGCAGGCATGGACCACAACCAAAATCGACGTCGCCAAGATGCCGCGGCATCTTGGCCACGGTCCTCGTGCTTCCTCCCTCGAGCACCGTCGCCGGGCCCAGCCGGCTCGGAGCCCCCGGAGGACGCATCGCACGCCGCGGTGGCGGCCGGCCCAAAGCTCGTGATCGCTCGAGGCATCTCCGGCTCCGCCGCCCACGACATCTCCAGCAGCGACGCCACAGCGCGGTCGGCGAGGGCCTCGCGCGAGACGTGCGGGTCCACCCGGAACAGGCCGGACAGCACCGCCTGGACCGTGTCCTGCGGCAGGTCGGGGAACATGCCCTGGAGGCGGGCGGCGATGTCGGGGATGCCCTCCTCCAGCTGCACGCGAGAGCGGCCTTTGGCAAGGGTGGCCTGTGGCGTGCGCCCCCAGGGGCCGCACCGGGGGCCCACTCCAAAGCGATCCAAGCGCGCTAACCAGTGCTGCGGAGACCAAAAGGCATAGACGTCACTGCTCCTCGGACCTCGGACCTCTCCCAGGAGCGTTCTGACCAGAATTTCGAAGCGACTCCAGCCGTGACGGCGAGGACGTCCTGGGAAGCCCCACAAGGGTAAAACGAAGAAACGCACCAGGATCGGTATCTCCTGCTGCTCCGACATGCTGGCGGGACCCCTGTGGGCCGGCTCCCGTGAGAAAGGCGATCATCGTGTTGGCAGGAAGGGGCTGGGCAGATGCGGGGCACGCCTGTGCAATGAGCACCACCAGCACGCGCGGCAATGTCAATGGTCTGATCAGCTCTCCTCGCCCCGTCCCCCCAGGCCGATAACTGCCTTTCTGCATCAAAGGCCACTCCGGCGCAGGGCCGCTCTCGTGCGCAGCCGGCTCCTGGCGGCCAGCGTGGCCTGCCGCGCCCGGCCCGGCGCCGCCCGGGCGCTGTGCCCCGAGCGGCCTCCTGCGCCTGTCGGCGGTGGCACGGAGCTCCTCCTGCATGCCGAAGCGGCGGACGGCCGCCATGGCTTCGGCGCGGGGAGGGGTGCACGGTTTCCCCTGGGGCCGTAGGCGACCCGAGGAGTGGGGGAGGAGGAGGAGGAGGAGGAGGAGGAGGAGGAGGAGGAGGAGGAGGAGGAGGAGGAGGAGGAGGAGGAGGAGGAGGAGGCGGAGGCGGAGGAGGAGGAGGAGGAGGAGGAGGAGGAGGAGGACGGGTCGCCCAAGCCCTTCGGAGAAACCCTCAAGGGGAGGGACCTCGGTGGCTCGCTGTTTCTTGACGTGCGGACGCGAGCGCGCGGCCGCGCGCGCGCAACCGCGGGCGCTCGAATCCCCCCGGAAGGCTCCGTCCGGGACCTTTCGGAACTGCGCGGTGCCTCGGTGGCCCGCGCAAGTGGCCCGGGGGCGGCTGGGCAGAAGCGCGCACGTCCTGACCGGGCGGAGAGCACGGCCGTGCACCTCAGGCTCCTGCTGCGCGCGGGCTTGCCGCAGGCACTGCGCTGAGGAGGCGGATGGGTCAGGGTGGGAGCGGCGACTCAACTGTACCACGGTCGACCTGAAGGAGGGGACCCTCAACAAGCCTGTGCGGACCGGGTGCAGAACGGACTTGGGCCCCTTGCGAAGAACCCCCAAAGAAGAACCCCACGATGAATGGGAGATACCCCCGTGGCAGCGTGCAAGAGCCACCCAATGAAAAAATGCGCCCTTTTAAAGAAACCCCCATGCCAAGAACTCCTTCCCATTACGTTCGTAAGGCTGGTTCCCATAAATGTTTCACGTCGCTCCTTATGGGAAACAATACGTTACGCCTGGTGGATCGACTACAGCACTCATGGCGGACGGCTGTACTTTTTGCGATGGCAATACGCTGCCTCTGACAAGGACAATATAGCAGCCCCTGCAGAATTGCACAACGCTCCCGGACATTGTCGAGGCCACGAACCACGTAATCGGATGAACGAACAGCTAATCACAAGCCACTGAATCACGCTAGTACGGCGAGCCACGAACAGCAAGCCACCGACACAGACAAATCACGAACCACGCGCTACCGTCCAACGACCCACACGCCACCGAACCACGCCACGACCACAATTCATGAGCCGCGAAACACGGGCCAACGAACCACGAATCGCAGGCCACCGATCCTCCAATCACGAACCCACGGCCTCGATCGACGGAACCAGAAAAAATACGGGCCACCAAACCGAGAAGCACAAGCCACCGATCAACCACGTTCGACCACATCGGGCCACAAGCCAAAGAATTACGAATTACGGGCCATTGAATCAAGAAACGCGACCTGGTGGCCACATGCGAACAAAAAACACAGGCCACCACATTAACGACTCACGTGCTCCCGGCAATCCACAAACTGCAGGTCACAAACCACCAACCATCGAAACAACGAGCCGTTGAACACCGAACCTATGGGCCACCAACCCAAGAATCACATGGCATAGCATTACACTGCTGCGCTCTGCTCAGTGCTGCTCTAGACGTAGGCAGATGCTTGACCTTGTGGTGCAATCGCTGGCTATCCTCCTGTGCTGAACGGGGTCATAAGATTCCCACGGCAGCAACGTCGGTCTAGCGATATTCCCCGTCCCCCTGATCATCGCCTTCGGGGAGAGCCCCCCCCCTTCCCTGAAGTTGGAGGTGTCGCGATGTGTCAGGGGGTCCCGTTTTTGCCCAAGATGGCTCCAAGGGCCCCCCCTCCCCCAGGATGCCCTAAGATGGCCCCTGACATCGCGCAAGAGAACTGAACATGGTTCACGATGGCTTCCGACATTCCTCCAAGAAGTATCACGAGGACCACAAGAAGGGTCCAAGTGCTCTCCGAACCCCCGCAGGACTTCCCCAAGAGGCCAGCATCTTGTTGTCGTACAACAGACTGATGCAACCCTTCGCCGATGCGCTTGCCTTTAAGCCTGATGCCGTACAACAGACTGATGCAGCTTGCCTTTAAGCCGTTTCGCTGCCGATGCCTTTGAAATTCCAGATGGCCCCAAGACGGCCCAAGATATCCCCAAGACGAAACTAAGAGACCCTCAAGACGGCCCCAAGAGCGCCCAAGAGCATACCTACTTGAACTGAATCGCGCATTAGAAGAGGGTGGGCTGTACAAGATGACTCGTCTGATTTAGCTGACCTAGCATGCTTTTGCAACGCCACAGCATGGACGCTGGCTGTGACGGCGCGAGATCACGCCAGAAGAGGTAGATGAGGAGATCGGTTCCCGCGGCGCACACAGGCAAAGGTCAGCACAACAATACCAATACCTCCATTCTGGAGGTACGGGGAGCGGGCCACGCAAGGGGCAGCGGGGTGAGTCCGAAGGCGGAGGCTACTTGGGAGAACGGGAGCGGGTCGGGAAAGCACCAGGTCGACCAACACAAAACATAAACTGTTCAGGATCTCGCCCAAACGAGTTCAGACTGCTTCTACAGACGCGCCCCAATGAAACAACACTTCATGACAAAAGCTTGAACTAGCTTCGAAAAGAAGTACACCACGAGTGTCCAAAACCTCCAGACACTATTCTCCAAAATTGCACATACGAACGGTCAAGACCTTGAGACATCCAGACGTGGTTCCAGGAAGAAGTGTCACGAATCACTTAAGAACGAACCTCGCTGCCATACACATCCTATCCGTGATATAAGCTCAGCAACCTTCAATCTGCCCCGAGACTTGCGAGATGCCTTTGCATTCGATTGGTCGGGAACTCACCTACATGGTACAGGGCCAGACACGTCAACGACCAACTGAGGCGAGCTGGGTAAAACACTCCGACACGACCCCAGGTCCTGATGCGACTGAAGAGTACACAAGCTCTGGACACCCTGGTTGGGGCGAGCGCTCGGCTGTTAGTCGGCCTGGTTCCCCAGCGCCCGCGAGACCCCGACCGGCCCCGCAGGCGCGAAGTCCTGTCCCGACCCGCCGTTGGCATTCGAGGCGGGGCTGGAGGGGCAAAGCCACTGGAAGGGGGGCGCAGGATTGGTCCCAGGCGTGCGACGGCCTGATTTTTCAGTACGCAGTCCCCGGAAGTACCGAACTTTTCCCCGGGACCGATCTCTCACTCCGGGTCGCATTTTATGAAGGGACCCTGGGACACACAAAGAAATACACACAAATCTCGGGATTCTCCATAGTTTCCCACAGTTTCTGGGTTTTTGTCTTCCCCCCATTTCCCATATTTTCCCATATTTTCTGGGGAATCGACGATTAATTGTGTCTGTGTGTTTTTTCCCCTCCTGACTTTGAACGGTCCCGAAACCAGGTAAGGGCCCCCAGAGGCCGTGACTCGTTTCACGACGTGAGCGTGTCTGGGGAGCTCGTGCCAGCGGGCGCCCAGCGGGGCCCCCGGCTACAGGCCTCCCAGAGGGGGTCTGAGTCGGTGGGGCCCGAGGATCTCACCGCATCGCCGACGCATCGCCGATGCATTGGCGAGGCATCGGCGACGCCGGCTTGGAGAGAGCTGGGCTCCACATCGAGCCGTATCGCCGATGCGTCGGCGGTGTGGCACGATCCTCGGGCCCCATCTACTCGGACCTCATCTGGGAGGCCCAGACAGGCGACTCACCGCTTCTTCGTCATCACGCTGTTCAGCCTGTCCTGCTGCTCCTGACTGGGGGGCCGCCGTGCCGGGCTGGCGCTTCATGGAGGCAGACACCCTGCGACAAGAGCACGGCCGCCGACGCCCGCTCTCTTCGCTTCGGGGATGCTGGGTGAGCCTTCCTGTGGGAGCCTCTGTGGACATCCGCGGCCCTATCACAATCGTGATGTCGGCCGGATTTCGTTCAAACTCCGACCACCCCTCTTCATCTTTTCGTCCAGGTGTCGTCGAGATTTCTTCCAAACTTCGTCAGGGTGTCGACCAAATCCGACGAAACCCACATGACATCAGAAAAACGCAAGGAATTTTAGGATCCCCTAAAGCTCCCATGAGGGACCACACAGAAGATACCCAACTCTCCTCTGCCCTCACATCTGGGCGTTGCTTTTTTGTGCAATTTGTGTTTTCACCCAGTTTCGGGTCCTGGGAATATTGCAGATCGATCCGGCTCGAAAAAGGACGCAGAAAGAATGGGGTCTAGAGCTCCAGACGCTATTTTTCGCGATGTTGCATTTTAGTCGCAACGTCGGAGAGAACGCGTTTCACGGGCGCTTGCCTTGGGAACATCCGGCGGCGCGTTTCAAACCAGGGGGTGCCCCCCCCAACACTCGGCGCCGTCGATCAAAACCAGGGAAACCTCCCTCCCCCCCAACCCCCCCCCCCTCCCGACCTCCTAGGGGGGGTTCAAACCCACCCCCCCTCCCACCCCTCGGCGCCGGCGCCGGCGCTGGCGGCCGCCAGCAGCGCCCACGGCGGGGACGCAGCGACGATGACCAGAGGCAGCTCAAGGGGGAAGGGGGGTTTCAACCCCCCCCCACCCCCCCACCCCGGCGCCGGCGCTGGCGCCGGCGATGGCGGGGACGCAGCGACGATTACCACCACTACCACCACCACCACCACCACCACTACCATCACCACCACCACCACCACCACAACAACCCACCACCACCACCACAATCTACCACACCACCGCCACCGCCACAACCACCACCACCACCCACGACCAGCAGCACAACCCACCACCACGACCACAAACACGCACCACCTCCACAAACCACCGCCACAACCACAACCCACCACCACCACCACCACCACCACCACAAATTACCACCACACCACCACCAAACCACCACCACCACCACAACCCACCACCACCACCACAAACCACCACCAAACCACCACCACCACAACCACCACCACCGCCACCACCACCAACACAACAACCCACCACCACCACCACCACCGTCGTCCTCGTCGACGCTCCCCGCCACCGCCGCCCGCCGCCGCAGGCGCCGGCCGGCGCCAGCCCAGAAATAGAAATCGTCGTCCCCGCCGCCGTCGCTAGCCGCCGCCGACGCAAGCGCCGGCCAGAGGAGAGGGGAAGCAGGGTTGGGGGGGGTTGAACACCCCCCCCATCCGTCACGGGCGGGGGGGGGGTTCGAAC